GAGCTCTTAACCAACTGAGCCACTCAGCCGGCCCTCACACCCAGCTCTTTTCCCACGATCAGGTTCCATCACAGGACTGTGGCTGAGGGTGGGGGGTGGGGAGGGGAAATTGGGTGCTTTGGAGAAAAAGGGCTGGACAAGAAGGGCCTGCTTCTGAGAGTAGAGCAAGCCCGAATGCCTAGCGTTAACTCAACTTGGAGCAAAAGTGGGGTTAACAAAACCCAAACCAACCCAACCCAACTCAACCCAACCCAACCCTCTTCACATGCTATCGAATTGTGTCTCCCTCCCTCAGAAGCTCCCATGAGGCTGCAGGTCTTGTCTTGGCTGACAGAGGACAATAATGCACCGAGCCTGAGCTGGGCCCCTGCGGTCACCCAGTTCATTCAACAGGCGTGAGGGGGCACCTTGGCTGATACACGCTGGCGGGAAGGACCTTAGACACCACCATGTCCATAACTCTTATTTTACAGGCAAAGGACTCTCCCACACTCCTGAAGCTAGGTCCCACAGAGCAAGGGTTCAAACCCAGTTTCCCCGTGCTTTTGCCTCCTTGTGCAGCCCCCATCGCTATAAAGATGACAGGGGTGGGAGAGGTATCCAAGCTGAGGGCAAAGGCAGAGAAGGGACCACCAGCCGTAACTCCAAGGCCTGGCTGGTCTGACTGCCGCCAGTTTGGCTGTGTGACCTCAGCCTCCTTGCCTTTCCTCTTTGTTCCTCAATCTCTGTCAAAAGCTAAACTCCCAGCGTTAGAACACTTGGAGCTGTGGAGAAGACTGGGATGAAAACGACACACAGCTTACTTTCCACTGGGGCTTTAACGCCTATGGAACTAATCCTTCTATGCAGGGCGCCCTGGGAAGGCTGCAGGGTGCTCTCAGGTGGGCCTACTCTCTCCTAGTTGGTCAATAGCTGTTGATCCAGCACTCAGTCTTCCAGAAAAAATATTGGACACAGTTAAAATTTGAATTTCAAATAACCAACAGACAATTTTGAAGTATATGTATGCTCTAAATATCGCCTAGGATCTATGAATATGAAAATCATCTTTGATGTTTGTCAGAGATTTAAATTTAACTAGGTGTCCTGTATTTTTGTTTGCTCAATCTAGCACCCCCTGACCAACCCACAGGGCCCACCCATCACCCCAGCCCCTCTCTGGAGACCCCCAGATCTTCACCCTGATTGGCCAGTGCCCAATTTAGCTGGCTGTTAAATCCAATTGACCATTGAACAACACAGGTTGAAACTGTGCCTGTCCACTTATGTGGATTTTTTTCAATAAATACCTGTACTTTTTAAAAAAATCTGTGCTATTTTTGATCCATGGTTGGGAGTCCGCTGATGCATTGATCTACACCCTTTTATATGGGGGAGCTTGAGCATCTATGAATTTTGGTATTGGTGGGGAGCTCCTGGAACCAATCCCCCACTGATACCAAAGGACAACCAAGTTTTGGGGGAGTCAAAAATTATATGGGAATTTTCAATGGCACGGGGGTTGCCACCCTTAACCCTCACAGTTCACCCCTGACTACAGGAGACCAGCCAGAATGTCACTCTGTGCTCTCTCTTTTTCTCACAGGCCTGGCGCTGCTGCTGCCCCCTACCACTCTGGCCGCCCTGGCCGCCAGCTGGCTCCAAGAGGACTGTCCTGGCCTCAACTACGCAGCCTTGGTCACAGGGGCAGCCCCCTCGCAGGCAGTGCTGTGGGCCAAATCCCCCGGGGTCCTGGCTGGGAGGCCTTTCTTCGATGCCATCTTTGCCCAAGCCAACTGCCAGGTCTCCTGGTTTCTCCCTGAGGGCTCAAAGCTGGAGCCTGTGGCCAAGGTGGCCGAGGTCCGGGGCCCCGCCCACTGCCTGCTGCTGGGCGAGCGGGTGGCCCTTAACACGCTCGCCCGCTGCAGTGGAGTTGCCAGCTCTGCTGCTGCTGCAGTGGCGGCCGCCAGGGGGACCGGCTGGGCCGGGCATGTGGCGGGCACGAGGAAGACCACGCCAGGCTTCCGGCTGGTAGAGAAGTATGGGCTCCTCGTAGGTGGGGCCGCCCCCCACCGCTACGACCTGGGAGGGCTCGTGATGGTGAAGGACAACCATGTCATGGCAGCCGGTGGTGTGAAAAAGGTGTATGTCCGACGGAGCCCCTGCCCTGGTCCTGCCCCCACCCCCATCACAGCCCTTCCCTCTACCAGAGCCCTGGCCTGGGAGTTGGGGGTGAGGCTCTTGGACCCCTCAGTAGCTCCATCTGTAAAATAGGGGGTTGGACTTGCCTCTGTACACGTGTTCTTCTTGGTATGATATTCAAGACCAAAGGACAAAGCTTGAGAGGCTGGTGTTGACTACTGTACCACCTTGGGCAGGTCACTGTGTGTCCCTGGACCCGTTTCCCATTTGTGACTATATTTTTCAAAACCCTTCCTGTTTTAACATTTTAAGTCACTTGAGCTCAGGTCCAAATGCCAAACAGTGCTGATATTGGCCACTTTTTTTGACCTGCAAAAGTGGTAATTTCATGTGGTTTCACCTACTTATGAAAGAAACCATCCCGGGTGCCCAGTTTCCTCATTCCCCCAAGCTTGTTATCCTTCTGTGGCACTTGGACTGCCTGTCCCAGCTTACTGTTCTCACTGTTGCCCCTCTGGCCTGTCAGGCGGTGCGAGGGGCCCGTCGGGCAGCCGATTTTGCCCTAAAGGTGGAGGTGGAGTGCAGCAGCCTACAGGAGGCCTTGGAGGCGGCAGAGGAAGGAGCGGATCTCATCTTGTTGGACAATTTCAGGCCGGAGGTAAGGCAGGGTCTGCTCCCTGGGGAGGGGCCATGTTGGGGGCTCTTACCTCCCCTTGGCTTGTGTCCCCAAGGAGCTGCACCCCACGGCTGAAGTGCTGAAGGCCCGGTTCCCGAGCGTGGGTGTAGAGGCCAGCGGGGGCATCACGCTGGGCAACCTCCCTCAGTTCTGTGGGCCACACATCGATGTCATCTCTTTGGGGCTGCTGACCCAGGCTTCCCCGGCCCTGGACTTCTCCCTCAAGCTGTTTGCTGAAGGGGCCACTCCAGTGCCCCACGCCCGCCAGTCCTAAAGCCCAAGAGGATGGCACTGGTAATGGGATAACATGGTTTCCTGAGACCCTCAAGGTCATATATCTTTCAGAACAGTGGCCAACGGGACACTCGCAGTGTTAGCCTGGGCGAACATCTGACTCTGCCACTTACTGCTGTGTAACGCCGAAGGGCTGACTTCACCTCTGTCCACCTCAGGTTCCTAATCTGTAAAATGTGTCTAATAAATGATCAACCCTATGGATTTCTTTGGGTGATAACTAACACATAATATGTACTAGGTAAATATTAGAGATTACCATAGTTCATTTGTTCTAAGGAGCACTTTCCCCCCATACATTGCCTTCTCTGAAGTCAAGGTCTATCTTTAATCAACTGTGTCCAGTGGCCCTGTCACCAGGCATCAGGCATGACCTGTGCGTGCAGGTTATAGATAAAACATGATAATCTATGTTGAAATGAGTCCAAAAGAGCTCTTTATACAAGTATAAAAAGAAATGGTAAGTGGTAAGAAAGCATTGGTCATAGTTTTTTTTTTCTTTTCAGAAATATGATACTTTAATATTTTTCCCCCTACTCTCTTTCCCATGCCTAAAATCTCTCCATTTGTGCATCATCCCTTGGTCTCCCAGCCATACTGAGATCTTCCCAGGAGGCCAGGTAGCTTGGAGACAGAACTCGAGCCCTGGGACAGAGAAAACTGCTTGAAGTCTCAGCTCCACCTCCTTCTCAGTGTGTGCCCTTGGGCATGTCTCTCCTCCTCTGAGCCTTGTTATCTCTAGACATGAGGGACACAAGGAGGCAAAGGCCATCTGAGAAGCCTGGTGGGACACCAATAGGGGTATCTTCCTACTGGCCATCCATCACTGCTTATCCCTGAATATGGTGAGGGCATGAGCTCATTCTCCTCATGCACACAGATGAGGAAAATGAGGCACAAACTCACTGACTCTCAGAACCCAGTTCCTAGCCACATCCATCTTCAAGCCCAGAGATTGGAGAAGGTATAAAAATAGTGACATTTAGGGTCGGCCGAGTGGCGCATTGGTTAAGAGCTGGTTTGGGATGCCAGCTTTGAGCAGCAGGGCCCCAGTTTGGATCCCACATGAGGGCCAGTGACACTGCCCTCTACAGCTAACATGGTGAACAACAGCTCGACCTGGAGCTGGGCTGCGGTGAGTCACTGGCGACGGCATAAGCTGCAGCCCCTGCTGCAGTCGGCTGCCATAAGCTACCGTGTGTGGCCGGCAGCCAGCATGAGCTGCCGGCAGCTGGTATGAGCTGCCAAGAGCTGCAGTGAGCGGCTGTCCAGAGGCCGGTGAACGATTTGCCTCACCCAGGAAGAGCGCAATGATAATACCAACATGGGCCAGTGAAGCGACGTCCTCCACAACTAGACTGAAGAACAAAAGGACAGCAACTTGTCTGTTCCACTTCCCCAATTCCCCAATGCAGTTCCCCTCCCCCAATACCCTAATAAAATCTTTAAAAAAAAAAAGTGACATTTAGTCACTTACAAAGCCCTGGGAACCCTTCGTGTATTAAAAAAAATAAAATATGTGCCTGTCAAAAAGTGAGAGAACAGAAAACACGGATTCCTGAAATCAAATATAAGAGTTGTGAATGCCAAGTCACAGATCCAATTGTTCAAGGATAGTAACCAGTTAACAAACTAAACGAAGGAAACCTTGAGCGCCACCTACTGGGAAGAGCCATCACGACCAGAGGCCTGTGATGCTCCCATCCCAGCGGGTACCCACCCCATCCCACCCACAGCCTGTGATGCCCCTACCCATCCCATCCCCTTCTTAGGAAGCTAAAGGAGTAGGGAGGGGAAGGAGGAAGACCGGCCCACTGAGACACGCTAGTGGTGGGCTGGGGCACCAATTCCCTCACTTCTTTCTCCAAACCCCACTCTGCACAAAGTGGACACAGGGTCCAACCCCACCCTCCCTCTCCTAAGCATGCTCGCTCTTCTAGGCTTCCAGGTTGTAATGGACCCCTCCTTTGACTAGCTGGGTGGACTTCGCTCTCTGAACTCAGTTTCTCCATCCTGGGCTTTCTGCAAACCATCACAGATCCAGTGTTAATCTGAGTTTAAGGAGAAACTGAAGCCTCAGGAGGCCCAGAGAAGGAAAACAGCCAGCGCCGTCCCAGCCTCTCTGGACCCTATTGTTACAGAGAGGGAAACCGAGACTCAGGAAACAGGTGCAGCAAATGGTTCCCTCCCCACGGCCAACTAGTGGCAGATCCAGGATGATGGGGTCGCCAAGGCGCGTTGGAGGCCAGAGCCAACCTTCTCTTACCACCAACCCCCACCCACCCACCTCCACTCAATCGGCAAAATTAAGAAGAGCAACTCCCCCACCCAGGCCCAGGGAGACCCTCCAGCCCCACCCGCCCTGGCCTCAAGTACTGGGAAAAGACTGCCACCGGTGGCGAGCATGCTTGGCACCACTCGCATCAGCAAAACCTGAGCCCCAGGCGGGGACATCATCGGGCATGACGGCCCAAAGGCCACGGCTCCGGCCTTCAGTCCTCTGTCCCCTCGTTGGTCTTAGTTTAATTGACAATTTATTTTTGAGTGATAGTTTGTGTTTTACAATTAATGGCATCTTATTAAAAAGAAAGACAATATAGTTTGTGTTTTACAATTAATGGCATCTTATTAAAAAAAAAAAGACAATATGGCAGGTAAAATTCCCAGGGCAACTCGCTCAACTCTAGCTGCTGTGGTCTCCTTGGACTCTCAGCTCCATTCCCTTGGCTCAGGAAGTCCTCTGGGTCCCCCTTCACACACACACACACACACACACACACACACACACACACACACACACACCACCCCCTATTCCCCGCCTGCAGTTTGGAAGTTCTCAAAGCAAAAGTGGGGCCATCTTATAAGGAATAAACTTTGATTGTTTTTCCTTTCTCTCTGGAACTTCGTTGTTTTCATTACTAACTTTTTTTCTTTTTTAGCTGAGCCATCCTGCCACCCGTTGGCAGCTCAGCGGAAGCTCAGCTCAGGCCAGGCATCAAACAGCTGGTGCTCAGAGCTCAAACTCTTGAGTGAGCTCTTAACCAACTGAGCCACTCGGACAGCCCTACTTTTTTTTTTTTTAAGATTTTATTGGGGAATTGGGGGAGGGGAACAACGCTGGGGAATCGGGGCAGGGGAACAGACAAGTTGCTGTCCTCTTGCTCTTCAGTCTAGTTGTGGAGGATGTCGCCCAACCGGCCCATGTTGGCACCATCATTGCGCTCTTCCCGGGTGAGGCAGAGTGGTCACCCGCCACCATACAGCAGCTTACAGCGGCTCCCAGCAGCTTCGCGGGCTGCCAGCCACTCACGGCCCACGGCAGCCCACTGCAGCTTCACTGCAGCCCACGTCATCGCAGGCGACTCACAGCCCCCCAGCTCCAGGTCGAGCTGCTATCCACCATCCCAGCCTTAGAGGGCGCAGCGCCACAGGCCCTAATGTGGGATCCTAACCGAGGCCCCACTGCTCAGAGCCAGCATCCCAAGCCAACTCTTAATCAACGCGCCACTTGGTTGGCCCTCATTACTAACTTTTATTGCTTGGTGTCCAGTGTTTTGAAAACTGTTGTTTCATGTATTTTGCTTTGGTTTGGTCGGGGCGGTGGTGGTTGTTTCAGGAGGAAGGGTAACCCGGTCCTCCCTGCTCCACCTTAGTGAGAAGCGGGGTCTCTGGGCTGTGCTTCTGAGAGCTCCCCTGGCGATTCCAGAGGCAGCCAGGCGAGGGCCAGTCCACAGACCTCTCCTTTTGGCTTGACATTTTTTTCTCTGTTGAATGAAAACTGTGATTATTTTCTTCCCTCCGTTTTCTCTGGACTTCTGTTAGATAAATATCGAATGGAATGATCCTTCGTCTCTTAACTTTTCTTTCTTGTTTTCCATTTTTTTGTTATTTTGCTCTACATCCTGAGAGATGTTTAAAAACTCTTTTCCCCCATACCTTCTTATAATTAACTTAAAAAAATTTTTTTATTAAAATATAGCTAATATACAATGTTATATTAGTTTCAGGTGCACACAATAATTATTCAACATTTATATATCTATATATTTATAAAACCATAAGTCCAGCAACCATATGACACTGTCCCATGCTATCACAATATTATTGACTATATTCCCCATGCTGTACATTACATCCCCATGACTTATTTGTTTTATTTATTTATTGTTTTTGGTGGTTTTTTAAAAATATTTTTTTATTGGAGAGAACAGCGTTGGGGACTCGGGGAAGGGGAATAGACAAGTTGCTGTCCTTTTGTTCTTCAGTCTAGTTGTGGAGGACGTTGCTTCACTGGCCCATGTTGGTATTGTGATCATTGTGCTCTTCTTGGCAGAGGCAGATTGGTCGCCGGCCATTGGACAGCCGCTCAAGGCAGCAAACAGCAGCTCACGCCGTTGGCCACTCACGCTGGCTGCCGGCCACTCACGTTGGCTGCCAGCCACTCACAGTAGCTTACAGCAGCCTACTGCAGCCCCACTGCAGCCTATGCCATAGCCGAGACTCACAGCAGTCCAGCTGCACGTTGAGCTGTTGTTCACCACCTTAGCTGTAGAGGGCAGTGTCACTGGCCCATGTGGGATCTGAACTGGTGGCCCTGCTGCTCAGAGCTTGTGCTCCGAAGCCAATTCACTCTTAACAAATGAGCCACTCGGCTGGCCCATGACTTATTCGTTTTATACCTGGAAATTTGAACTGCTTACTCCCCTTCACTTTTCCCCCTTTTAAAAACTTTTAAAATTACAGTTGACATTCAATATTATTTTATATTAATTTCAGTTGTATAGCATAGTGGTTAGACATTTATATAATTTAAGAAGTGATCCCCCTGACTACCTAGTACCCATTTGACACCATACGTAGTTATTACAATATTATTGGCTATATCCCTTATGTTTTACCTTACATCCCCATGACTACTGTGTAACAACCAATTTGTACTTCTTAATTCCTTTCCCCTTTTCACCCACACCCCAAACTTCCTCCCATCTGGCAACCATCAAAATGTTATCTGTATCTATGAGATTGTTTGTGCTTTGTTTGTGATTAGTTTTTTAATTTGGGCAAGCACATTTGTAATTTCCAAAACTTTTTCTTGCTCTCCAATTGTAATGTCTTTCTAGAAGCCCCTAGTTGTTTCGTAGGGGGTGCATTATCTTATTTATTTGTTTCCTCCAGGGCTGCTTGTTTTCCCTCTTCATCTTAGTCCTTTTTGGTGCCACTGAAAATTAATAAGAGGAGGCCCACGTGCTTTTTCTTGGCACCTGAGGTTCCCCAGGTGTCTGATCCCTGAACAGGCTGCAAGCTCTGTGGGCAGGTGTGTTTATTCATTAACACGCTTCACTTGGATCAGAGATTCTTGTCTCCCTCCCCTTCACCCAGGTGACATTTGGGGAGCTCTGGAGACGGTTGTGGTTGTTACAATCAGGGGGTGCTATTGGCATCTAGTGGGTCTCTAGAGATGCTGCTAAATGGCCTGTGGTGCCCAGGAAAGTCTCCCACGGCAAAGAATTCTTGGTGGTCCAAATGCCAATCATGTGAAGGTGGGGACAACTGTGACTGAAGACCTTCTGAGAGCAGGCTGCGCCGCCTGAAACCACCAGAGGCTGAGACAACAAGGGGCACCCCACTCCCACTTCAGGAGCGCTTGTTCATGCTCTTCAGGGGAGATCTCCAGCTGATGGTTCACCAGCCCACGTGACCCACAGTCTGTGTGTGTGTGTGTGTGTGTGTGTGTGTGTGTGTGTGTGTGTGTGTACATTGTAGTTGATTTTACCTACAAACCCTGATTTCTAGCTTCTGCTGGGGTGAGAAGAATGGACAGCACCAAGTGGCAGACAGCGCCCCCTGCAGTCAGGCATGTGGACTCTTCTCACCTCCATCGCCGCCGATCCATATAACTCACCTCTGTCTCCAGCTTGGCCTCTTTATGCACGTGAATCCCTGACCTCTGCTTTCTTTGGGGAGGTCTAACTTTATCCCAGGGAAAAATACTGCCTGTCCCCAGGAATGGCCATGGACTGGTTCTGAGATAGTCTTTTAATCAATTATCTTTTCTTTCCAACTGGTACTATTCCTTTAGAACAATGGGAGAATACCTAGAGGGGGACCATCTCTGCCTCAGTTGAGAGACGTGGGGGGTCCCCAGGGCATGAGACAGCAGGCAGAAGCCATGGCATCCATGAGATGTCCAGTGTCGAGGGACAGCGAAGCCCTGCAAGACTGGCCTCTGAGGATGGCATCTAGCGGAAGAGTCAGACAGGATGGCCAGAGAGAGGGCAGGGAAGCCAGGCGCAGGTGGAGCTGCAGAAGGTAAGGGAAGAGAATGTGTCAAGAACGGAATCAAAATACCTAATGCTGCCGCCAGGAGGCTGAATGGTGTCCCTCGGTTAAAAACGCATGGGCGGGCCGGCGGAGTGGAGCGACGGTTAAGAACTGGCTTGGGACGCCAGAGGGCTTGGTTCAGATCCCACATATGAGGGCCAGTGACACTGCCCTCTACAACTAAGATGCTGAACAACAGCTCAACCTGGAGCTGGGCTGCTGTGAGTCACTGGCAAAGGCATAGGCTGCAACCCCTGTGGCAGTGGGTTGCCATGGGCTACCGTGTGTAGCCAGCAGCCAGCGTGAGCGGCCAGCAGCCACAGTGAGCGGCCGTTCCAGAAGCCGGCGACTGATCTGCCTCGCCTGGGAAGAGCACAATGATGGTGCCAACTTGAGCCAGTGAAGCAACGTCCTCCACAACTAGATTGAAGAACAAAACGACAGCAACTTGTCTGTTCCCCTTCCCCCAATTCCCCAGCGCTGTTCCCATCCCCCCCATTCCCCAATAAAAATCTTTAAAAAAAACAACAAACAAACAAACAAAAAAACGCATGGGCCATGATTTTGGTGAAAGCAGTTTCTGTGGAGTGCTGATAGGGTACAGAAGCCTGCAGCAGGTTGCAGAGTGATGGGGAGATGAGAAAATGGACTGCTAGGATGGACAGCTTTTTCAAGAAGTTTGTCTGTGAAGGAGGTGAGATGTCACATTCTGTAGTGAGGGATGGAGAATTAGTTGTTGGTCAGCTGTTGTTTTAAGATGAGAGGAGAGACTGAACTTGTTTATAGAGGAAATAGTCTGGTTTGTGTGAATGGTATAAGCTGGCAAGCACATTCCCACCATGAAACATCTAGAAATGCTGCAAAAAAAAATCAAGCAAATGTCCTTTAAAACACACAGCTGGGTTTCAAAAAAGTAAGGGGAATCCCCAGGAGCTGCACACAAAGATAACCAGAGCAGTGTGAGCTGCTTGGTGCTTGTAGAGCTTGGCAATGACGGGCTTGGGTTTTATATCCACATAGAGATTGGAGAGGAGGCTTTGCCTTGGGGCATTGGAAACTGAGACCCTAATAAAAAGCTCAGCCCCTTAAAGGGTGACGCTCTCAGGAAAAGAGTAGGCTAGAAAAAAAAAACCTTCCCATCAGTCCAGGGAGCACAAAACAACCTTGTCTGTCTCACCCTGAGACCTGGAGGAAATAGAAAAGTCTCCCCTAAGAATTCATAACCAAATGTTCGCCCTCACTTGCATTTGGGGTCCAAGTTTACACCATCTGCATGGTCTCGGAAGCCCAAATTACATGAACAGATAACGTTGTCTAGCATCAGTAATACCCCTGAAGCATCCTGGGCAGGAACAAACAGAGCCTCTTTAGAGAGACTGGTACCCACAAACTGATCACATGGATTCCCACTAATAAGGCCCTGCTGAGCCAAGTTCACTGCCCTGAATTAGAAAGCATGAGAGGAAACCATCTGTCATGAATGAGCCTGATCACCCTGGAACTCCAGACAACAGAATGATGGAGTAAAGGACCACAAGGTGTGTTTCAAATGCCTGAAGACATAAAAGAAGCACTCAATGTGAGAAAGTAAGAAGATGATGTTTAAAAGGAGAGAAAGAGGTTTAAGATAAAGAGAAAGGAGAAAAGGTAAAACCGATGCATCTCTTAGCCCACCCACGTATTCATTTCCCTTTCCTGGGCTCCTATTGTGTTCTAGACCATGTCCTGGGGCTGGGAATACAACGCGGACTTTGGGGACAGCAAGTGGGACTCTGCCTGGGGAAGCTGACATCCATGCACGCGTGCATCTTTCATTTTCACCATCCTCAGATGTCACAACTGGAAAAGTTCTCACAGAGCTTCTTGTTCAACTTTCAACTCTCTTGTACAGACAGACTGTGAGGCCCAGTAATATAAAAATCATTTTTCTGAAGTGTCATCCACCCACATGAGTGGGTGACAGAGCCAGGTGACAGGCCGGGGCCTGGCTCTGGTGCCCCTTCCCTACTGTCCTGCTTCTGCTGAGCTCTTTGAGTGCAGACATCTGAGCTCTGATCATCGTGTCTCCGTTGTTTCCCTGGTGCATTGACCTCTCCTCTTGGGCAGAATCCCCACAGCCCAGTCCTGGCAGCTGACAGTGATGAGAAGTGACATGGTTACCTAGCTGGTAAGTGACAGAGGTGGGACAAGAGCCCTGCCTTGTATCAGTTCTGTGTTCCTTCTTATCTCACCCCCCTCCATCCCTCCACTGCCTCTAGAGAAAGGTGAGCTTCTTGCGGGTGTGGGGTGTGGGGGTGGGGGTCGAGGTCTGATTCCTCTGCCACGTGCGTGGGGCCTGGCTCAGGGAAGGTGCTGGGTGACGTGCTGAGTGCATCTGGAGGGGAGGTCCCTCAGCCTGGGGGCTCCTCAGTCCCCTGCTGCTCCTTCAACTTGTGGCATCAAAAGGGGTGAGAGGGGAGGTCAAGGACCAAGTACTCCCCGGCTCTCCTGAGCAGGAAGAGCCAGGGAGTGATGGTCTTTGCCCAGCGGCGTTTCCCTGGCGTGGGTGAACTTGGACGGCCCCTAGCGGCATTACATAACCCTAGATCTCAGCTCCCTGGGCAGGGCTGTCTGCCGCAATACTTCCGGGGAAGGCCTCTGGGTGGCGCCAGAACCTCTAACACTTGCTGACCCATCCGTTCCTTTTAACAAAGAAAGAACCTGTCAGGCCAGCCGAGTGGCAGGGTTGTTTAAGAGCTGGCTTGGGATGCCAGAGGGCCTGGTTCAGATCCCACATATGAGGGCCAGTGATGCTGCCCTCTACAGCTAAGATGCTGAACAACAGCTCAACCTGGAGCTGGGCTGCTGTGAGTCACCAGCGACGGCGTGGGCTGCAGCCCCTGCTACAGTGGGTTGCCATGGGCTACTGTGTGTAGCCAGCAGCCAGTGTGAGCGGCCAGCAGCCAGCGTAAGCGGCCAGCAGCCACAGTGAGTGGCCGTCCAGAAGCCGGTGACTGATCTGCCTCGCCTGGGAAGAGCACAATGATGGTGCCAACTTGGGCCAGTGAAGCAACGTCCTCCACAATTAGACTGAAGAATAAAAGGACAGCAACTTCTCTGTTCCCCTTCCCCCAATTCCCCAATACAAATCTTTAAAAAAAAAAAAAATCTGTCTGTGGGTCAGTGCCTCCAGCAGGGAACAATGTCCACTTTAGACCTTAAAACCTTTGTTTACATTGTATTGATGTTCATGTGTTACCTTCTATTTATCTTCTATTTCCACTTACAGAGGTGATCCAATAAAGAGTCCTTTGAAAATACATTTATTAAGCAAATAGGAAACCAATGTAAAGGAAAGTATAAAGTAAATAAAGAGTACAGGTGGTAAACTGATATGGCAAAAATCCTAACCTTTGGGACTGCACTTTGGGAAACCAGGCCTCTGGGGAATGGAAACTCCACCTGTCCCCAGCCCCTGGACCTCTTCCCAGAGAGGAGGTCAGCTGATACAGATGGCTATAGAGCCAAGGACATTTAGGGGCTCCATTTCTCGGGTGGAGCATTATAAGTAAGTCTGTCTCCCTGAAACAGTCCAACAAGCTGGGCGGGAAGATGGCCAGAGGCGCGTTCTGGGAGCCTCCCTGCCCTCGGACAGCGCTCCTTTCCACATTGGGTCAACCTCAGAACTCTTGGCCCAGGCCTCCCTCACCTGCAGGGGGTAAGATTCAGAGATCTGGGATGTGTCAGCCTTCAGGGGATAGGCAGACGAGCCTAATGGTTTGGACTCTGGGTCCCAGCAGCACGCCAGAGCACCTTCTCTCCAGTTTGGCTCCTTGCGTTTCCTGCTGTGAGGTGGGGGCTCAAAGTCACAGTTCATATATACAAGATGCTCCTTTGCCTGGTCTTGGCCTCTCTTGATGCATTTTTCTGGAGGGAAGGTTTGTGGCTCTGGAAGCTGGATTCCTGTCACCTCCTGCTAGCACTGCTGACACTGGCCACCACCGCACTCGGTTTGTACTTGAGCATCCATGGGATCCCTTCCCTCTGATCCTGGCATCTTAGATGCATGCTGGAGGCCACTGTGGTGACGCTATTCCATGCCCATCTGGTACCTTGAGCTCTTAACCAGCAGTGTGATCTGGGGCTCTTGGCCCTAAGTCAGCCCCGCCTCCAGTTCTCAGCACCTCTGAACTTCCTCTGCAGCAGCAGGCTCTGTCCACACCCAGATCCAGTGGAATTGAAATCCAGATGTGAAAAGCCTGAGGCATGCTTCCCTGGGGCTCCTCAGGTGTCAGCTGGGTCCCCAGGCTGAAGCCTCAGGGTCTTAAGGTCCCTCGGAGGTTGGGCTTTCCTCAGTACTCTCTGGGAGACTAGTCCTCCAGGCTCCAGGGATTCAGAAACCCACGCTGGCCCGGCTTTCACGTCTCCAGAAAGCTGAGATCTGATCCAAGGTGACCCGAGGCTGGAGGCCCCATTCAGGATCAGGGCTTCCTAGCCTCTGCCTTTGGGCCCGGGGGCTTCCCAGATACACACTGGTCTCTGGCCTCTGTTCAGGTTCAGCCCAGCTCACTTGGCCTGGGGCGTGGGGCCTCTCCTGCCAGGCCTGGGGCCCCCAGAAGGTGCAGTGGACCGGGGCTTTGGGCAGGGGCTGAGAGACTAAGGACCTGGGAGGGAAGTGTGGAGTTGAAGGGGCAGGTGGGGCTGTTGCTCGGGCCTCCAAGGTGCCCCCGGGGGTAGGAGGGTCTGGGGCCTGGTCCATCATCAGGGGGACCGCGGAGCCATACCAGTCCTCGGAGCGCTCTCTGGGGGTGCCTGTGGGCTCAATCCACAACTCTCCTCCAGGGCGCCAGACCAGGGTGGGTGTGTGGCTACTGGGGTCTGGGCGCAGAGATCGGCGGAATAGGCGCTCGGCCAGCACAAACGTGGTGAGGAGGAAGAGGGCCGCCAGACAGGCCAGGGCCAGCATGATGGGGATGCAGGGTCCACAGGGTAGCGGGGGCCACGAGGCTGGCTCTGAGGCAGGTGGCTCCTCCATGTACTCAGAGAGCTGCTCTGGAGTTGAAGGCACCCGGAGAGACAGGGTCTGGAGAGGAAGCACCATCTAGAAGGAGAGAGGCAGCAAGTGCCCAGACAGGAACGAGGAGAGAGACAGAGGTCATGGAGCTGGGAGTCTGGTCTCAGAAACAGACCCAGGCAGGGACAGGAACACAGGGGACACAGAAAGGGCCAGAGGAGTCAGATGGCGAATCGGGGGGCCCACCGAGGCCTGCAGCCAGGCCAGCTTGCTTAGAACCCCCAAACCCTTTCCAGAAACCCTACTTCCCTCCCAAACCCCAAGGTGCCTCAGAGAAAGCTCCAAAGGCCCCAAGAGTGTCTCTCCTGTCCCTGGGCCCCTCAGGTCTTAGAGTGGAAATGATGGGTGCTGCCCCCAGTGGTTCCCACCTCCAGGGGCCTCCTACACTCCTCACCTCACGGCGTTCAGTCTGAGCTCCTCTCTTCCTTCAGAGCAGCTCTTCCTTCTGCCTGCGGAGAGGCGGAAAGGCACTGGGCAGAAGCCTCAGATGAGGGCGGAAGGGAGGGCACCACCTGTTGCTCAGCAACTGTGCCCCAGCGCCCCTGCCCTGAGGAGTGTTTCCAAGGCAACCTGGAGGGATGTGGTCACTGCGGTGGGGAGGCGGTTCCTGGTGAGAGAGGTGGGGACGGAAGGGGCAGTGGCTCTGTTGAACTCAGTGTGACCCCATAGCCAGACCCCAGGCCCCAGAATATTCACCCAGAAGCCAAGAAAGGGGAGACAGACACTCTAGCCCCCTCGTTGCCCCACTGAGCACCAAGGCGCCTTGCTCTGCCTGCTCTGTGGGGCTCTCCTGTCTCTGTCCTGCCCAGGGGCTCCACCAAACCTGCTGTTGCCATCCAGCCCCCCCCCGCCCCTCCCCCCATACACACACATGCGCTTCTGCCTGAGCCAGCCTTCTCCATTCTTTCATGGACATACATCTCCTTGTCTTCAGACCATTTAGCCCCAATTGTGGTTAGAAAATATCTAAG